GTCTCAAAAAAAAAAAAATGCCATGGCCAAAGCAACTCATTTAAAAAAAAAAAAAAGAGTTTATTTTGGCTTATAGTTCCATTGTGGCAGGGAGGCATGGCAACAGGTAGCAGGCATAACAGCAAGTATCAGGCATGGAGACAACAGGAAATTGAGAGCTCACATCTGCTGTGGGATGTTCTGTATGTCAAATGTGTTGCTGATTAGTCAATAATTAAAACACTGATTGGCCATTGGCTAGGCAGGAAGTGTAGGCGGGACAAGGAGGAGAATAAAGCTGGGAAGTGGAAGGCTGAGTCAGAGAGACACTGCCAGCCGCCACGATGAGAAACAGCATGTGAAGATGCCGGTAAGCCACGAGCCATGTGGCAAGGTATAGATTTATAAAAATGGATTAATTTAAGCTGAAAGAACAGTTAGCAAGAAGCCTGCCATGGCCATACAGTTTGAAACCAATACAAGTCTCTGTGTTTACTTGGTCGGGTCTGACGGCTGTGGGACTGGCAGGTGAGAGAGATTTGCCCTGACTGTGGGCCAGGCAGGAAAACTCTACCTACAAATGGCGTCCAACGTGGTGGCAAGAGTTTCCACCTAAAACCTGAGAAAAGATTCTAAAACGGAGCTAAAAACAGTTCCTAATTGTCTCTCTCAAATGAGCGGCAGCTGCTGGTTTGAGCTACTGGTGGGTTCCTAGTGTGCGTGCTCGACCTGCCTATGGTGGGAATGAGGCCTTTGCAAGTGACACTTTGAGCTACATGGTGGATTTAGCCTTTGCTGGTGCAGAGCAAAAGGGGAGGTTTCTGGGCTACACGCTGCTTGGCTAAAAGCATAGACCCCCGATAGCTCCCAGAGCTGGCGGTAAACCATGGCCATGTTGGGAAGCTGAGGTGGGTGGAGCCATCAGCCACAGCTGCTGCAGTTTAAGGCAATAGATTCACAATAAGACAGATTCAGATGTAATAGTTTACAATGTGTGTAAAAGATACGTAGGCTTGAAAGAGACAAGAAAGATGATATATAGAGTTATAGAAACAAATACATAGTTTTAAAAAATAAAGTCTTTAAAGAGACAGTAAAGGTAGTATAAAAAATAAGCCACGTAAAAATGGATATTACACAGAGAATCTGCATTGTGTTGTCTTTGGGACTTTTAACTGCAGAAAAACATTTGATTGTAAAAGCTGTTGAGTTATGCCAAAATGTATATTTTAAAGGTACCTTGACTTCAAAATTTGGATATAAGGATATGTTACTTTGGAAAGGAGACTCTGCTTTTGTTTCCACAGAAAGCCAGAGGCTATGGATTTGTTCAAGATTAAGATACATCAGGTTTGACCAGCCAAGACCCCCTGAAAGGTCTCCGATGACACCATGGCCCAGATGATCCAACATCCAGAACAATTTGAAGGCAACTGGCTCAGACGATACAGCCTCATGGACTATTTCATAATCCTAAAATTTTCTTTGTTTCCCCATAAGATACAGCGCCCCCCTCCAGCAGGAAGTAGTAAGAGAAGCTACGCCCAAATTCCCAAATTATATGTAATTTTACTTTGTTAAGGTTAAAACCTTCCTTTTTTTTTTTTTAAAAAAAAGGGGGGAAGTGCTGTGGGATGTTCTGTATGTCAAATGTGTTGCTGATTAGTCAATAATTAAAACACTGATTGGCCATTGGCTAGGCAGGAAGTGTAGGCGGGACAAGGAGGAGAATAAAGCTGGGAAGTGGAAGGCTGAGTCAGAGAGACACTGCCAGCCGCCACGATGAGAAACAGCATGTGAAGATGCCGGTAAGCCACGAGCCATGTGGCAAGGTATAGATTTATAAAAATGGATTAATTTAAGCTGAAAGAACAGTTAGCAAGAAGCCTGCCATGGCCATACAGTTTGAAACCAATACAAGTCTCTGTGTTTACTTGGTCGGGTCTGACGGCTGTGGGACTGGCAGGTGAGAGAGATTTGCCCTGACTGTGGGCCAGGCAGGAAAACTTAAGCTACACACATCCTCCAACACAAGCACGAAGCAGAGAGAGAGCTAGCTGGAAGTATGGGAATCTTTTAAAAGTCTTGGTGTTGCCGGGTGGAGGTGCATGCCTCTAATCCCAGCACTCGAGAGGCAGAGGCAGGCGGATCTCTGTGAGTTTGAGGCTAGTCTGGTCTACAGAGCGAGATCCAGGACAGTCAGGGCTACACAGAGAAACCAAAAACCGAATAAACAAACAAACAAAAAAAACTAACTCTTTTTAGTCCTGGCTATCTTGGAACTCGCTTTGTAGACCAGGCTGGCCTCAAACTCAGAGCTCTACCAGTGCTAAGACTGAGTGAATCTTTAAACTCGTGTAGCCCTGGCTGTCCTGGAACTCACTCTGTAGACCAGGCTGGACTCAAACTCAGAAATCTGCCTGCCTCTGCCTCCCAAGTGCTGGGATTAAAGGCATACACCACCACTGCCACCATCACCTGGCTGGCATTGGGGTTCTTAACCTGGCTGAGTGTCAAAAACACATCCATTCAGGACTTCACTCACTCCCTAGAGGGGAGGAGGAGGAGAAGGAGGAAGAAGTGAGGGGCTCCATCTTTGCAGTTATGGTGGAAGCTATCATCCCTGCTGGATACAGACCTTCCAGTATGGATGCCTTGATGACATCTGTGTTCTCTAAGTAACCCTAATAAATTCATTAGTATCCAGGGTCAATCTTGGTGGAACTGAATTTTGGTTCGGCATTGGAACCTTAGGAGGAGGGGGGTATGTTTCCTAGTTCCCACCCTCACTACAGAGTCAAAATTCTTGAAACACCTTTTTTTTTTTTCTTTTTTGAGACAGGGTTTCTCTGTGTAGCTTTGTTGTCTGTCCTGGAACTCACTCTGTAGACCAGGCTGGCCTCGAACTCACAGAGATCCACCTGCCTCCCGAATGCAAGGATTAAAGGCATGTACCACCACCAATTGGCAAAGTAACATTTTTTTTAATTTATTTATTTATTGATTGATTGATTGATTTATTAGTAGTTGTGAATTGAACCTAGGGCTTCGTGCACATGAGGCAAGCACTCTCTACACTGAGTTATAGCCCCAGTTTGTGTATGTGTGTGTGTGGTTGTTTTTTGTTTGTTTTTTTCTTTGAGACAGGATCTCACTGTAGCTTACTTGGAACTCTATATATAGATCAGGTTGGCCTTGAACTTACAAAGAGCCACCCACTTCTGCTTGGACTTCCCTAGACTCTTAAATCCTCAGAAGAAGCGAAGGAGAAACCCATCTGAAATCTCAGCACTCAGAAAGTGGAAGCGAGATCAGGCCTTGAAGGACAGCCTCAGTTCCTTACCGCATTTAGACCATGCTGGGGTCCGGTCATGGTAGTGCACACCTTTGATCCCAGCACTTGGGAGGCAGAGGCAGGTGGATCTCTGAATTAGACACCAGCCTGGTCTACAGAGCGAGTTCCAAAATGGCTAGGGCTACAGAGAGACCTGTCTCAAGAAAAGAAAGACCGTACTGGGCTACATGAGATCCTGTCTCAAAATAAAAATGAATTAAAAAAAAAAGTTTCCCTGGACCTGGGCCCATTGGCACAGCCTCACCATTCCAAAGACAGGAGGATTTCCTATGTGAGGTGCTAGGTTCCATCCTCATTACATCTGTCTGGGTATGATGGCGGACACATGTGATCCCAGCAGGAGGCTTGAGAGCAGCCTACGATACACAGCTGGACTCTGTTTCAAGATGGAGAAAACTTATGGGAGAGATAACTCAGCTGTCAGGAGTGGGAACTGCTCTTGTAGAGGTCCTGAGTTGATTCCCAGCCCTCACATGTGGCAACTCCCAACACCCTGGAATTCCACCTCCAGGGGTCATCACGCCCTCTTCTGGCCTCCATGGGCACCTGCACTCACGTGCATACACACAGACAGACACACATAACTCAAAACAAAACAAAACAACCCTTTTTTTTTTAAGGAAAAAAACACAAACTTTCGCTTACGTTTTGTCTTTATCCAAAACCTGCCAGTAGCTTCCATCTGTCAATAAAAACAAAGGGGGTGGGCTGGGGAGCGGGCTCTGTAGGTAAAGTGCTTTACTGTGTAAACATGAGGACCTGCGTTCAGAACCGCAGCACCCGTGTAAAAGCCAGTAGTGGGGCTGCAGGAATGGCTCAGCCATTAAAGGCTAGACTTACAACCAAAGATCTAAAAGCCAGGAGTGGTAACCCCAGTGCTGGGGCGGCAGAGACACGTAGATCTCAGGGGCTTGTTGGCCAGCCAGCCCAGCCAAAACGGTGAGTTCAGTGAAGGATTCTGTCTCAGAGAATAAGGCCCAGGGGCCGGTGAAATGGCCAGCTAGTGAGGGCACTTGCTGCCAGGGTTGATGACCTGAGTTTACTCCCCGTAACTTACATGACGGAAGGAGTGACGTGTGTGTGTGTGTGTGTGTGTGTGTGTGTGTGTGTGTGTGTGTAAATAAATGTAACTTAAAATATTTTTAGGCATAGGCAGGAGGATCTTTATGAGTTCAAAACCAGCCTCGTCTACATAGCAAATCCCAGGAGAGCCAAGACTACAGAGAGAGACCCTGTCTCAAAAAAATTCCCCCCAAATATAATACACATATGTAATTGTATGTATGTATATATGTGTTGAGACTGGATCTCACTATGTAGCTCTGGCTGGCCTGGAACTCACTATATAAACTAGGCTGGCCTCACTCATAAAAATCCACCTGCTTATGCCTCCCAAGTGCTAGGATTAAAGGTGTGTATCACCATGTCCAGTCCTAAAATATATCTTGAAACAGTTTTAAAAGAACGTGGAGAGCAATGAGGAAGGCACCCAAATAAGCTTCTTGCCTCCATGCACAGGCACAGGCGAGTGCATCTGCACACACGCTAATTTAAAAACACTCAAAGGTTGTTTTATGACCCACAGGGTCCCCTCTACAGCCACCTCTCACTGCCTACCCGTTCTCTGTGTTCCATACCGAGACACGCTGCCATCACACCAACACCCTTGCAGTTTTTGCTTTTATTGTTCAAGAATGTGTTTATAAAATCCACATACGCACACACACATCTACATACGTGCAAGATGCCTGCCCTGCTCTGGTCGCCCCTTGCCCTGATCTCTCCTGGCACCAGACCTCAGTGGTCACCCAGGAAGCCACTCTGCAGCGCCCGTCCTGCGTCACCAGTGCAGGGGCAAAGAGAGCAGATCTCCTGTTCTGCCTCCCTGCTGAGGAACCAAGGGCGATGCCCTCTGCCCACAGCAGGGAGTCATGAGGATGTAGCTTGACCTCATCTCTCCTCGGAGCTCCCTGAGTGGCTTAGGGCCCCAGCATCACAGTTGCTAATGCCTTTGGGGTCCTCTGTTATTAAATGGAGGTCCAAAGATGGAGTATGAGTCCCCGGGGATCAGGCATTGGTATAGTGCAGGGGTGGGAACCAGGTTCTTCTCCATTCCCAGGAGATGGCTAAGTGTAAAACCAGGAGCCTACTAGATTCTCAGGGAAAGGGCTGGCCAGGATCAAGAGGGGAGTGCCCATGAGTTGTCCCTGGAGCTTGAAGCCTTCACTGGGATTAGAATGGTCTGCCCAGGGTGCCCTCTGTGACTGCCCGGGTGGCTTGCTCAGGTACACGGCTCGGGTCGGTCAGGATGCTGGTAGATGTACTGAGCTGGCGAAGGGAATTCAGAACAGCTGGAAAAATAGGGTGAGATGCCTTTAAAACTACGGATGAAGTCAAGAACACAGGGGAAATACTAGTTAGCTAAACAGGTGGCCCTTCCCAGGACCTCTTTCTTTAGGTGTTTTAGAGACTAAAGGACCATCCAGGGTGAGATATGGTCTCAAACCCTAGGCTGTATTCAAGACAGACTGGACTTGGGGACCTAAGCAGGCTGGATTTGAACTCTCTGCTCTGAAGCTCCATGTGTGTGTATGTGTTACTGGAGATTGAACTCAGGGTCTTGTGCATGATGATGTGTAAGTGCTCTTCTGCTGAACCACGCCCCCAGGCCCTCATTGGAGAATTTTGGGCAGGTGCTCTACCACTGAGCCATGCCCCTAGCCCCTCACTGGGGGATTCCAGGCAGGTGCTCTGCAAGGCCTCACACATTAGTGGGCAGGAAGGTGGCTCTTACTTGGTCGGAGAGCAGGCAGGGAACAGTACTGGTCCAGCCAAGCCAACGAGGTCTGGCGGAGGCTGTGCAAGCTTGCGGTGGACACCATGCCATTGAAGGATTCAAACAAAGGCCGGATGAGGATGCTGAACTGGGCTTAGAGTCAAGGAACACACCAGTGGTCCAGACAGCACCCCACCACCTCACACAGAACTATGACACCTGACCTAAGCCAGTGCCAAGAAAAGCCTGTCACTGTCAACCGTGACCCCTATGGAGAGCCACCTTGTCCCCTCCCTCCCTGCTAAGGGCTGTCCACTCATCTCTGTATCTCTCAGCCCCTCCCCTTAGTCGCTCGGGAGCTCTCATTCTGTATTAGTCCATCCCACATCTCTAGGCTCAGTCAAGAACTCCAATACTGGCCTGACGGCACAGGCCTATAATCCCAGCCATTCAGGAGGCTGAGGGGAAGGATCACAAGTTCAAGGCTCCCCTGGCCAACTTAGTGAGAATTTGTCTCAAAATAAAAAGTTAAAAGAGGGCTGGGATGGAGCTCCTGTTCAATCTCCAGTGTGGGAAGACACACACAGAGAAACAGGGAAGAGTGGATGCCCTGCCTTCTCCAGGCCTCATATGACTCGGACTTCAGATACTTCCAGACTGCCTTCAGGAACATCTCCCAACTGCCTTCTCCCACTCTCCCTCCCTCTCAGCAAGGAGTCCCAGTTGACATTCAATCTTGAATCCCAGGGCCTGACATTAGAGGGCAGAACCAAAGCCCATTCCCTGGGGTCCTCCAGCTCAGCCCGTGGTCTAACCACAACCTGGTCTGACTGCAGCATCACTACCCTCAGGTGATCATCAGCCCAAGGAAGGATACGACCCAGAACTTCCAGTTGTGCAGTGTACGGGTCCGGACATAGTCATCAAACATGTCCCGCATCTGGTCAAAGCGCTGATGCGTGATGGGCACCCCAGTGGCTGGTAGCTGCTGCTGGCACAAGCTATGGAGGCAAAGAATCAGGGAATGTGAGGACATGTCTCCCATACTCCAGCTCTTGCGTACTTTTTTTAAAAATTTATTTATTTTTAATTTGATGTGCATTGGTGTTTTGCCTGCATGTATATATGTGTGAGGGTGTCAGATCTTAGAGTTACAGACAGTTGTGAGCTGCCATGTGGGTGCTGGGAATTGAACCAGGGTCCACGGAAAGAACAGCCAGTGCTCTTAACTGCCGAGCCATCTCTCCAGCCCACCCACCCACCCCCCTTTTTTTTAAGGGTTTCTCTATGTAGTCTGACTGTCCTGGAACTTTGTAGACCACGTTGGCCTCGAACTCACAGAGATCCGCCTGCCTATGCCTCCTGAGTGCTGGAAGAGGAGGCATGCACCACTACAGCCTTGTTTTGTTTTTTAAGGTGCTGGAGCTGGAACCCAGTTCTTGCATATGCTATGCAAACACCCTACCACAAACCACATCTCCTGTCCTTCACTGGGGGATTCTAGGCAGATGCTCCACCACTGAGCCACACCCCCAGCCCTCACTGAGGCATTCTAGGCAAGTGCTCTACCACTGAGCCACACTTGGCAGGTGCTCTACCACTGAACCACACCCCAGCCCCTCACTGGGGGATTCTAGGCAGGTGCTCTACCACTGAACCACACCCCAGCCCCTCACTGGGGGATTCTAGGCAGGTACTCTACCACTGAGTCACACCCCAGCCCCTCACTGGGGGATTCTAAGCAGGGGCTCTACCACTGAGCCACACCCCAGCCCCTCACTGGGGGATCCCAGGCAGGTGCTCTACCACTGAGCCACACCCCAGCCCCTCACTGGGGGATTCTAGGCAGGGGCTCTACCACTGAGCCACACCCCAGCCCCTCACTGGGGGATTCTAGGCAGGTGCTCTACCACTGAGCCACACCCCAGTCCCTCACTGGGGGATTCCAGGCAGGGGCTCTACCACTGAGCCACAACCCAGTCCCTCACTGGGGGATTCTAGGCAGGTACTCTACCACTGAGCCACACCCCAGCCCCTCACTGGGGGATCCTAGGCAGGGGCTCTACCACTGAGCCACACCTCAGCCCTGGGGGATTCTAGGCAGGTGCTCTACCACTGAGCCACACCCCAGCCCCTCACTGGGGGATTCTAGGCAGGGGCTCTAACCACTGAGCCACACCCCAGCCCCTCACTGGGGGATCCCAGGCAGGGGCTCTGCTGAGCCACACCCCTGCTTACTTGATGGCAGCATTGAGCTCCTCTATCTCATCCCGCAGCTGCTGCGCCTCCTCCTGCATGGCCGCCCGCTCCTGCTGCAGCATCAGGATGTACTCGGCCGTCTTCTGCAGCGTGGTCGCTTTGCTCACCTGTGAGCGCCACCAGTGTGGGCCTCTGTGCTGGCAGGCCCTGGGATCTGGTGTTGGGTGTTGGTCCAAGGAGGGGCTCCATGACTCTAAGGGAGTGCGCACCTCTGGCTGGGGGCTCACCTTGAGGCTGGGCTGGGCACTGAGTGTGCTCACAAGTCCATGAAGGGTGTCGAATCCTAGCTTGATATTGAAACGCCTCTTCTGTTCCGCAGAGATGTGTGTGATGCGTCGGTTCTCCATCTCGGAAAGCAGAAAGCGAGATGAATCTAGGGGAAGCCGGGGGTGGGGGTGGGGGTGGGGTAAGATTGGTAGCAAGTGTATCTTGGGGATCAGGAGAGGACACATACCTTGTTGTTGTCTACACGACCCCGGCTTAGGATAGGTTGAGGGGAAGACAGGTGGACACTCAGTGCCCCCGTGGGTGGTATGGAGTTGTGATCCCCTGATAATCGCCGCTCACTGCCTGTGGCAGGGACAGACCCACAGACAGACCGACACACGAGGGAGAAGGTCCCCTTGCCCTGTCCCTGTCATCCTGACCCCAGTCACACCCCCCTTCATCGTTCCCCTCCCTCCTTCCTCTAAGACCCACAATCCCTCTAGCCCCTATTTACCGCTGGGCGCTGGGGGTGAGAGCCGCTCTGCTTTGGGGACAATCAGGGACCTGGGAGGGGCCAGTGTGGCTGGGCACGGAGGTGGCTGAGGTGGTGTAGGGGCCGGGATTGGGGGAAAGAAGGCGCGGACACGGGGGAGCTCGGAGACTGTATCCTGCTGGGATGGAGAAGGGCAGAGAGTTGGGGCAAAGGCCCTAGATTGACCCTTACATCCCAGGGCCCATCCATCATCTTACCGGGGACTCTGAAGGCCGGAGGAGGGTGCTGGGCACAGTTGGAGGGTCCAGTGCTTGCTCAGGCTTGGCTGGGTACAGGCAGGACTATGAGGACCACTAGACTGGCCCAATCAAGTCCATCACCAATTAAGACCCCTTCTTGTTGCCCAGCAGCCCACACACCCCTATCAGATAGAGCTCATGTCCCTCACGTCATCCCGCCCTGTCTCTGTCCCCCAAGCCCACCCTAAAACCCTAGCCTTCCACCCTAGTGCCCTGCCCACTCCTTTCAGGGCTGGTCCCTCCCATCACCTTGTCCACCTGCCTCCCCCATCTCACCTGCCCTGAGAAGCTGGGTAAGGCAGGGGTTGTTGTCTCTGGCAGTGGCAATGGGGCTGGCAGTGGTAGGGGCCAAGGTAGGGGGACTGGCTTTCCGTCCACCAGGGGATGGGATGGAGGGCTTGCATCTGGGCTGCATATCCTGGGGCATGACGAAGTGAGGCCTGAAGACAGGTTCCGGGTACCCATGGGGCAGATGGTCTACAGGGAAAGGGGCAGGGCCAGGGCCAGGGCCAGGCTGTGGGGTGGGAACGAAGGTGGTGGGGGCAGGAAGTGGAGGCCCTCCTGGAGCAGGAGGGACTGCGGTGAAGGGGAACCTGGCAGAGAAGAGGGGCTCTTCTGGCAACAGAGTGGGAGGTGGAGCCATTGTAGGGAAGGGAGGTGGGGTGCAGGGCTCTAAGCCCTGTGCCTTGGCAGGGGTGGGGTATGGAAGGAGGGGAGTCGGTACAGGAGCAGGTGAGATCTTGGTCTTTGGGTCTTCGGGAAGAAGGAAGTCAGAGCTCAAAAAGGCACTGGGGTCCAAGGGTCCATGGCAGCTGTTCCGAGCCTAGGTGAGGGGTAGGGAGAGACAGGATGATATTCAAAGAGCAGGGGAGGAACCTGCTTGCACCCACCAGAAAGCCTCTGTCCTGGCTATGTATTGGACTGGATACTGAGGACAGAGGAGAACTGATCCATATACATGCACACACATGCATACACACAGGCATACATGCACACACTGGAGATTATTATAATTATAACTGTAGGCTAGTGTGAATTTTATGTACAAATTAAGCATGACACATCAGTCTTACTGATAATTTGTGTTCCATTCACCCACCAAATAACTTATCCAATATAGCTACTAATCTAGTGTTCATTTATCTAGTCATCTAGCCATCCATCCATCCATCCATCCATCCATCCATCCATCCATCCACTAATTATCCTCCAGTCTATCCTTCCATTATCTATTCTTCATCCATCAAAACATTAACTCATTCACTAATCTCATTTGTTCATTCCTTATCTATCCATGTATCCCACTATCCATCCATCCATCTATCCATCCATCATCCACCCACCTATCCATCCATCCATCCATCCATCCATCCATCCATCCATCCATCCATCCATCCAAAGATCTACCTGTCCACCCCCACTAACTTGCCTATTAATCTATGTGTTATCCATCCACCCACCTGTCCATCCATCTTTTGCATCCATTTACCTATTTATTCTTTCATCTATGAACTCACCCATCTCTATTTCAACCCCAGATGTGATGATTAATTTAGATTGACAGAATTGAGGAATACCTAAGAGATTGGTAAGGTACACTGGTGTTTTGTTGAGGGCATTTCCAGAATGGATAAACTAAGGGGGTTGGGTGTGCTGGTTGAATTCCATGGTCAACTTGATTCAATTAAGAAATAGGTAGTGCATTAGTAAAACACACCTCTTTGGTGTGTCTCTGAGGATGTTTCCAGAGAGGGCTAATTGAGAGAGAAGACTCACCCTGGGTGTGGGCAGAACCATTCCATGGGGGTGGGATCCCAGACTGAATAAAAAGTGGGCCAGCATGATGGCTCAGAAACTTAAAGCACTTGCCGCCAAGCTTCATGAGTTGAGTTTGATCCCAGGAACTCACATGGGGGAAGGAAAGAACCAACTCCTGAAAGTTATTCTCTGACCTCCACATGGGCACTATGGCATGCATGCCCCTCTACATCACACCTGTACACACACACGCACACACACACACACACACACACACACACACACACATCATCATCATCATCATCAAATTAAAATGAGCATGCAAGCTGAGTACCAGCATTCTCCTCTCTGCCCCCTGACACAGTGGGACCAGCTGTCTCGATGTGATGCTATCATGCCTCCTCTACTGTATCCTCCAAATCAGGATCCAAAAGAAACCTTTTGTGCTGGGCGGTGGTGGCACATGCCTCTAATCCCAGCACTCGGGAGGCAGAGGCAGGTGGATCTCAATGAGTTCAAGGCCAACCTGGTCTACAGAGTGAGTTCCAGGATAGCCAGGACTGTTCCACAGAGAGACCCTGTCTTGAAAACCTTTCCTTAAGTTGCTTTTGGCCAGGCGTTTTGTCATAGCAAGGGACAAAGTAACTAAAATGGGGATGGGGACAGGAATGTAAGCTCATAGTCTGGGAGTCCAGATGGAATAAGTTGGGGGGTGGGGGGAGGCTGAAGCCATCTCGTGAAGGCATTCTTCCTCCCCGGCACCCACCTCTGTCATTGCTTCCTAGCCTCTCTGCTCTGTTTCACCTCCTCCCCCATGACAGACTAAAACCTCGGGCACCACGAGGAGTGTATCTCTTTCCCTGAGGTTGTCTTCCTAGGTGTAGCACGATGATGACAGACTGGCTACTGCTCCAGCCTCAGGGAAGCCTCAGGAAGCCATTCACCAACAGATCCAACCATCCGAACTCTCTTTATTCTCCCATCCATCTGTCTATTCATCTACCGTCTGTACATCCACCAAACACTAATGTAACACATCATCCGTCCATTCACAAAGCCATGCATCACCAGCCCGTGCACCCGCTAGTTCATTTATCAATCCACCCAACCATTTGTGTGGGGATCCACTCACCAGCCCAACTCCTCACCAGCCCATTTTACTTTACATTCCCTTACCCACATATACGCAGGCGCCACTGTCTACCATGATCTTTCCATTTACTGCTGCGCATGTCTCTCTCTGCTCTCATTCACTCACTCCCTGGGCAACCATTTATGGAATGATACTCTGTGTGTGGACACCACTAGGCACAGAGAATGCAGTGGCGACCAAAACAGCCCTTCCAGCAAGAAGCTGTCTGTCCAGTGGAGGAGAGAGACATCTCACAATCAACTACAAAAGCATGTGAAAAGTCCAACGATAGGGGAAAGGACGCTGTGGTAGTTAAGCTTAACTGTCAACAAGACACAACCCAGGACCACCTGGGAAGAGTCTCAGGGAGGAACGGCCAACATTGGGTTGGCCTATGGGCATGTCTGTTGGGGATGATCTTAATTAAGTCAGGTGATTGATATGGAAAGACCACTGTGGGTGGCACCATTCCCTAGGCAGGGGGTCCTGAACTGGGTCAGAGTAAAGAAACGGAGCTGAACTAAGTAAGTGAGTGAGCATGCATGCAGCCACCGTCCTCTGCTCTCCACTGTAGATGTGGTGTGACTGACGCTCCTGCCTTGACTTCCCCACACTGATGGACTGTAACCTGAGGTTGCTAGCTGAAAGAAACTCCTCTTCTCCCCCTAACTTGCTTTTTCTCGGGACAGTGACAGAAATGAAACCAGAACAGATACCTAACTGTGACAGGGAAATGACTTCTGAACTGGGCACGGGAGTTCTTGACACAAGACACCAACTCACAGCTGCCTAAACATACACACACACACTCCCATCCTGCTTCCATGCACACATTCCTGTCCATCTGGCTTGCCCTTCACCAGCCCATTCACTAAGACCCAGAATGTTGGGCAGGCACAGTGGTGTACGCCTTTTATCTCTGTACTCAAGAGGCACAGGCAGGCCCTTCAGGGCCCTGAGACCAACCCTGTCTCAAAACCAAAACCAAAACCCAAACACGAGAAAACCCTCCTCTGGACTGTGCCCTGCTCTGCGGTTCTTATGTCCTCTGTCTTCCTCCACTCTCTTTCTAGAATTCAATCCATTTAGTTCTGCTTTGTAGGGGCTTCTTCTCTGCTGGCCGTGTTCTCCCAAGATCTCTTCCTGGCTGGCCCAGAAAGAGTCTAGCTACCTCCTGGCCCCAGGCAGAGCCAGCTCTCAGATGCCCTGGGCAGGCTGTGCAGAACAGGATACGCTCACCTGTAGACGGGTAGTCCCTGAGAGAGGGGTCATCCCCGAGGAGGAGGACAAGGAAGCTGGAGATGGCATCTCTGGGCCCAGGATCCCACTGCTGAAGAGGGAGTCAGCCATGGGGCCAACGCTGGGGGGCTCCAGGAAGTTTGAAGATGTGGGCGTCTGCGGGGGACGGTAATTGGTGAAGAAATCTGTAATTGGGACACACAGAGGAGCAAACGATATTAAGGACTCAGGATAGGCCTTTGATGCAGTCCCCACGCTGGGCAGAGGTGGGACAGGAGCCAGGAGAGGTGGAAGGCTTCCACGAGAGACTGAAATGGTTTCTGTCACACTCAAGCGAAGCTGCACTACAGACGGGTAGGACGGTCCTGGGACAGATGGCGGGGTCTGGGCGTGAGAGAGCAGGGACCCCGGAAGCTGCCCACCCATGGAGCCCCACTCTTGGCTCACTTCCCCTCCCCGGGTCTGCTCCTCTCTTGAGCACTGTTGGCGTTCTAGAAAGAAGGGGTCACAGAGAGGTTCTGGGAAGGAAAAAGGTGGGGTACAAGGGAGTTGCCTCTGCGTCGGGGATGAATCAAGGGTGAGCAGGTTCACCAGGTCAGTGGGTCAGGAGTAGGTTAGGCTTGCTGAAAGATCAGTAAGTTGAGGCTGATAGAGCAAAGCCTAGGCTGACGTTTGGGGGACACAGAGTGGGCTGAATCGGGGTGTGAGTGATCGGGAGCCAGGAAGCCTGAAAAGCTCATGGGAGAGGCGGGCAAGGCAGCCAGATTGTTTAGGGGTGTGGGTTGTGTAAGTTCTGGGCTATTCTGGTTTTGGGAAGCAGGCTGCTCATGGCCTAACCACATCCCGGGCTGGGGCGACACCCGCCTACCCTCTCCCTTCCGGGCACCTTTCTCTGACCCTGACCAGCATGTGCTCTGTGCCCAAGGCCTCCTGGGCCATTCAGAGCAGACCCCACCATGGTAGCTCCTCACAGGGTTTGGTGGGCTGTGGCCCCCCCCACTTTCCCTTCAGAATCCTAAGCCAGGAAAGCTGGTCAGACCTTCTGACATAAGCCACCTCTCGAGACCAAGTGAGTTAGAGAAGGTCATAAGGTCAGGGAGTGCATATGTGTATGTCTCTACGGTGTGTGTATGTCTATATGGTATGCATATTTGTGTGTATATTTCTACGTGTTATGTGTATTTGGGTATATATGCATGTTGAGAGTGTATATGGGTGCGTAACATGTATATGTATGTGCATATGTGTATATGCATGTCTGAGAGCAAATGTATATATATATATATATATATGCGAATGTGTGCATGTATGTGTATATGTATATGCTGTGTACATGTGTATATGCATGTGTGTATACATGTAGACCTCTATATGTGTAAGCATGTGTATGGTGTATGTATATGTATGTATGTTGCCATGTGTGTACATGTGTGTACACTTATGTGTTTGTCCATGTGTCTGAGCATGCATGAGTGTGGTATTTTTATATATATCTTTGTGTGTGCATGTGTGTACATGTGTGTATACTTATGTGTTTGTCCATGTGTATGAGCATGCATAAGTGGTATTTTTATATATATGTATGTGTGTGCATGTGTGTATGTGTGTGCATAAGTGCCTACATATGTGTATGAATATGTGTTGTGCATGGCATGTGTGTATACGTGTGTGTGTGTGTTTGTCTCAGGTGATTCTGCCTGGCCAGAAAAACCAAACAGGTTCTGAGTATCAGTATGCAGTGACGTGAAGCACCTGTCTATCTCTCTGGATGTCTGTCCCTAGTGTGTGACAGACAACATGCCTGCCATGCCCACATCTCTCCCAGTATCAGAAGTAGTCTCATGCAGTCCTGTGCCCCGACTCTGTACAAAAGGATCTGGGGAGGGACTAGAAACTGGTCACCAGAGGCCCACCCCTCTCCCCCAAGGACCATGGCCCTTGTCGGTAGGCTACCTGAAGCCCAAGATTAGAGACTAGTCCTGGGGTAAGCCCATCATGCCAAAGCGGCCGCTACCCCGTTACTTTGAGTTTTTACACCTGTTCCGGGAGGCCTCCAGAGAACCTCTTCCCCCTCCCAACCTCCCATCAAGCTCCAGTCCTTCCCTGGCCTGGTCCCCACACTGACCAGCCACTCTCTGTCCCGGGGCCTGCCCTTCCCCAGCCCTCAGCCTCTGTAGAATTCTGCGCCTTCAACAGGGTTTCCAGAAGGACAGAATGGACCCCCGGGTGGCTCCAGGCTCTCCCTGAGGATGGCCAGGTTCGGAGGGTCACTGTAGCCACCTGCTCCGGGAGAGCCATGCTTGCCCCCAGTCAGCTCCCACCTGGCACTGACTGACAAGTCACTGCAAACTCCAACCCATCTGCACTTTGCCCAGAGCCTGGGTGGGCACAGCTGAGCTCCTACCTGTGGTAGGGGTCTGTGGGACAAGATGGAGCTGCTGTCCTTGGGGGCAGATCTGCTTCCAGGGCACTGCCATCAACACTTCTGCCCCTGGCAGAACCCACCCTCCCAGGGCTAAGGCAGAGGTGGGGGTGGGGGTAGGGGAGGTTCCTCATTCCCTAGTACCCGCCCCATTGGCCTCACCCTTTGAATGACAGGCCCAGGACCCTATAGGGAAGGAGCTGGGAAGGGGGCATGTCACTGAATGAAGCTTCACTCTCAGATGGTCTCTTCAAGTTTGGGTGAGACAGGTTCAGCCCTGATATCCTCCTGACCCCCAGCATGGCTTTTAAAGGCCCCTAAATGCATGCTGTGAGGAGCAGTGAGCTAGAAATACACTCAGGGCCAGGCTGTGTTGGCACCCGCCTTTAATACTAGTGCTCGGCAGGCAGAGGTAGGAGGATCTCTGAGTTCTACAGAGCAAGTTCCAGAACAAGCACCAAAACTACACAGAGAAACCCTGTCTCAAAAAATAAACAAACAAAAATGAAAGGAAGAAAGACAGTCAGGGAAGGCAGCCCTTTGGGGAAGGAAGACCCCATGGGAAAACAGGAAGCGAGTTGTATAAGGCATTGTGACTCATACCTGGAATCCAGGCACTCAGGAGACTGAGTTCGAGGCCATCCTGAGTTACATAGTGAAACTCTATCTCAAGTAAGTCGGGGGGGGGGGGGGGGGTATGTGTGGAGAGGGAGAGGGAGAGGGAGAGAACACATTGTGGGCATGGTAATACACACTTCTAGGCCTGTAATGCCAGTGTGGGAGGTAGAGACGGCAAGATCAGAGTTCAGGGTAGCCTTGGCTATACAGCAAGTCTGAGGCCAGCCTGGACTGTATAAGACCCATATCCTAGTTAACTTTAACCATCAACTTGATGATTTCCTAGAGTAACCCGAGAAGGGGATGTCATTGAGTGGGAGGCTGCTTAGATCCGGCTGCCTGTCGTCCTGATTGTTAACTGACAGAGGAGGTAGCTAAGTGTGCTGGTTCATATGAGGTCTACTGGACATAAAGTAGAGGAAGGGGTTGGGGATTTAGCTCAGTGGTAGAGCGCTTGCCTAGCAAGCGTAAGGCCCTGGGTTCGGTCCTCAGCTCCGGAAAAATATAAATAAATAAATAAATAAATAAATAAATAAATAAATAAATAAATAAAGTAGAGGAAGGAGCCCCAGCTGAGAAAATGCCTCCACAAGATCAGGCTGTTGTAGGCAAGCCTGCAGGGCATTTTATTATTTAGTGATCCACAGGGGAGGGTCCAGCCCATGGTGGGCAGAGCCACCCCTGGGCAGGTGACCCAAGTTTCTATGAGAAAACAGTTTGAGCAAGCCACGAAGAACAAGCAATAAGCCGCTCTACCCCCACGGCCTCTGCATCAGCTCCTGCCTCCAGGTTCCTGCCCTGACTTCCTTCCACGATGGACTGAGTCACTGTTGTTATGGTGTTTCAGCACAGTAACAGCACTCCCAACAAAGACACTCAGCAAGCAGTACTCCTCATTCCGCCATGGTTCCCGCTTGAGTTCCTGCCCTGACTTCCCTCAGTGAAGGGCTGTGACCTGGAAGCAGAGACAGCCCTTTCCTTCTCTAAGCTGCTTTTTGTCAGAGCACCTGTCAGAGCAACAGAAAGAAAACTAGGACATGTGTGGGGTCTGAAGGAAAATGGCCCCCATAGGCTCATAGGGAGTGGCACTATTGGAGGTGTGGCCTCGTTGGAGTGGGTGTGGCCTTGTTGGAGTAGGTGTGGTCTGGTTGAAGGAAGTGTGTCACTGGGGGCGGGCTTTGAGGTTTCAGACGTTTAAGCCAGGCCCAGTGTCACTGTCTCTTCCTGCTGCCTGGGGATCCAGATGTAGAACGCTCAGCTACCTCTCCAGGACCATGTCTGCCTGCACGCCACCATGTCCCACCATGATGATAATGGACTAAACCTCTGAAGTGTAAGTGAGCCACCCCAGTTAAATGTTCTCCTTTGTAAGAGTTGCCATGGCCATGGTGTCTCTTCACAGCAATGAAACCCTAACTGAGACACCCTGTCTCATAAGAAAAACCAGAGACAGAAGAGAGAGAAAGAAAGAGGTTTGTCCTCATGGGCTGGACTACATCAGCAACTCAGTAGCCTGGGAGAAGAGAGGAATCTGAGAAACTTGCCACTTTGCAAAATGCTTCAAGAGATTTGATGCTTCAAAGATGAATGTAGTGGCACATGCCTTTGATCTCAGCACTCAGGAGGCAAAGGTGGGCAAATCTCTGAGTTTGAGACCAGTCTACATAGTGAGTTCCAGGACAGCCAGGGCTACACTGAGAAACCCTGTCTCAAGAAAACAAAAGCAAAAACAAACCCAGAGAGATCTGATGCTTGGAATTCCCTTGTCAGTCACAGCGGCTCATGAAGTGCTCAGGATCAAACCCAAGGACTCTCCCATACTAGACCATAAAGGATCTGTGGGAGAGCACCTGCCTAGAATCCCACAGTGAGGGGCTGGGGTGTGGCTCAGTGGTAGAGCACCTGCCTAGAATCCCACAGTGAGGGGCTGGGGTGTGGCTCAGTGGTAGAGAACCTGCCTAGAATCCCACAGTGAGGGCTGGGAGTGTGGCTCAGTGGTAGAGTACCTGCCTAGAATCCCCCAGTGAGGGGCTGGGGTGTGGCTCAGTGGCAGAGCACCTGCCTAGTAGGTACAACGTCTTGGGTTCTAATCCTAACATCACATACACACACACAAATTACAATACCGTTCATCCTCCCACTGCAAAAACCTAATAGTCTCCTAGAATTTTTTTCTTAAACTGACCCTTTGGTCCATCCTGCCTCCTGGGGAAGGACCTGTCCCACCTGATATCTCCATGAAGTCATCCAGGCTGGGCTGCAGCGGCGTCAGGTCTGGCTGGATCATGTCAGCATTGCCAACATAAGCTGAAGGGACAAGGGTGAGGTTGGAAGCTGCAGGCAGGGGAGACAGCTCAGCCCCTCTCCCCCCCCACACACACAACCTTCCTCTCCTCACCGTCTTCTGGGGGCAGCTGAAGGGATGAGGGGCTGGGCTGTGTCATGGTGAAGAGTGTATCGGATATATCGGACAGGAAGCAGTCGAGGTCCAGAAGCTGTCGACCCCCAGGCTCCTCCTCGGAGCCCCCAAGCAGCACGGGCACCACACTGGAGAAGAGCTGTTCGCACCATCGCTCTGGTGGCGGCCACCCACCTTCCACCTGGCAGGATACAGAGCTCACTGCCCTGGTCCTCCACGTTACCCTGCCTGAGGATGAAGCGGTCCTCTACCCTGGAGAGAAAGCCTCTCTTAAAGATAACACCTCACTTTTCTTGGGTGGCCTGATTTATGGTCTAAGAAGCCAAGGTCTCTAACAACTCCCTGGAGGAAGCAGACCAGGATGGCCAGTTGCCTTTTCGGCTCTCCATGCTGTAGTTTGGCTTTTATCTCAGCACTCAGAGGCAGAGGCAGGAGAATCTCTGTGAGTTCAAGGCTAGCCTGGTCTGCAGAGCGAGATCCAGGACAGGCACCAAAACTACACAGAGAAACTCTGTCTCGAAAAACAAAACAAACAAACAAAAAACATACACCATCCCATCTTGCTGGCTTTAAGTTTTTGAGGCAGAGTTTCATGTAGCCCAGGCTAGCCCAGACTCTCTGTGTAGCAGAGGATAGCCTTGAACTCCTGATCTTACTGTCTCTACCTCCTCAGTGGTGGCATGGCTGGTGTGCACCATCAAGCCAAGTTTTAGTTGTTTTTATTTTTGTTCTTGAAGACATCATCTCCAAGGTAGCCTCCAACTTCTTGAACTGGCCTTCAGTTTGCAATCCTCCTGCCTCATCCTGGCTTTCTGTCTGCTTTCTTCTGTCTGAGACTTCCGTCTTGTGGATGCCTTTCCCTTACGCCTCCCTCCATCTGCTTACTTTTCTCTTTCTTTCTTTTTTGTTTTATTTTGTTGTGTTTGCTTTCCTTAAGGCACGGACAGCTCACTCTGCAGCCCACACTGGCGTTGGACTCAAAACTCAACTCAGGCTAGCCTGGAACTCGCTACAATCCTCCTGCCTCACAACCGATCTTCCCAAGAAGAGAAAGTTTCAGTAATCACCCACACCGTCATAGAGGCCACGCCCATTCCTCTCACACCCAGTTACCTCGCCCATATCCCGTCCTGGTCAGCCAGGCAGACATGTTCGATTCTGCAGTTTCCATCTGCCCAGATGCCCTTCCTTGCTCAAGCCTTCCGGTGCTAGATTTACTGAACACTCACCTGCTTGGGAGCCAGGAGATCCCCTTCCCTGCTGGACTTACGGAGCTAGGGGAACACAAAGTTTGGACACTGAATCCCCGTCCCCACCGAGTCACTCCCCCTCCACCCACAACCACTGGAGTTCATAGATCCCCGGGCCCTGCCCCTTCCCACCACCCAGGAGGAGAGAAGCTGGCCCTGGGGAGACCCTGTGGCTATCATGCTGGGACTTTATGGGGTGGTTCGAGGGTATGGGTGAGGGTGGGGCCATGGGATCCCCTCCAGGGCATCATGCTGGGACTTTATGGGGTGGTTGGAGGGTAGGGGTGAGGGTGGGGCCGTGGGGTCCCCCTCCAGGGCTCTTCTGAGCCCCAAGGGGACGCTCTGCCCCTGCCGGTCCCACTGACCCGCTTCTTGTAGTAGATTCGCCACTTGTGGTATTCGCCGCATCACCACCTCGATGCGCCGTTTCCAGTAATTCCCCTCCAGGACGACAGCCTGCGGGGAGGGCAGGGATCAGGGCTCAGCGTCGGGGTGACACCCTACGGTCGGGTCTCCCCACATCCCGGTCCGGTCTCCCACACACCCACTCCCCCACCGCGGGAGGGAACCGCTGGGTGGACAAGCAGATGGGTGGGCAGCCCATCTGTCTCCGGCTACCTCAGGTTTTCCGGTGCTCATCTGCTTCCGACCCCTGCAGAGGGGTCACGAAGCCACATACTGGGCTCTTCCTCCGCTGCACATCTGAGGGGAGAGGGCCAGGTCAGAGGCACCCAGACCTCGCATCCTGCACCCTAGGAGACTGGAAGTTGAGTGACACACTCTATAATCCTGCCTGACCCCCCCCTCTCTCTCCTCTCTCTCTCTCTCTTTCTCTCCTCTCTCTCTCTCTCCTCTCTCTCTCTCTCTCTCTCTCTCTCTCTCTCTCTCTCTCTCTCTCCTCTCTCATCTCTCTCTCTCTCTCTCTCTCTCTCTCTCTCTCTCTCTCTCTCTCTCTCTCTCTCTTCTCTCTCTCTCTCACATTGGTCCTTCGCTGGTCTCAAACTCATCAGGCAGCTGAGGATGACCTTGATCTCTTGATCCTTCTGCCTCCACCTCCCAGGTTCACCACCCTGCCAATTCAATGCTGTGATGGCGAGGGAACACAGGGCTTCCTGTGTTCTAGACAAGCACACTACCCACTGAGGTCACCCCCCCTTTCTCTTCTCTCTGCACAAGCTCTACTACTAAGTCACACCCCAACCTCTCACTGGGAGATTCCAGGGCACCCTATTGCTGAGCCACAACCCATCCTCAATGGATGATTCTGAGCAAGGGTACTGAGGAGATACATCATCAGGGTGTAAATTATTTTTATTTTGACACAGATTCTTGCAATTTATTATAGTTTGGGCTAGCCTGGAACCACTACGTCGCCTAAGCTGTCATCAAACTCTTTTTGTTGTTGTTGTTGTTGTTTTGTTTTTTTGAGACAGGGTTTCTCTGTGTAGCTCTGGCTGTTCTGGATCTCACTCTGTAGACCAGGCTGGTCTCAAACTCAGAGATCCACCTGCTTCTGCCTCCCGAGTGCTGGGATTAAAGGAATGTAACAGCACTGCCCAGCCTCTCAAACTTTTTAAAAAGAGATTTATTGGGTTGGGAAAGATGGCTCAGTGGTTAAGAGCATTGGCTGATCTTCTAGAGGATCCAGGTTCAATTCCCAGCACCCACATGGCAACTCACAACTGTCTGTAACTCCAGTTCCAGGAGATATGGTGTCCTCACATAGACATACATGCAAGCAAAACACCATTATACACAAAAATAAATCCTGAAAACAAAAACAAAACGATCTACTTGGTTATGTATGTGTTGTCTTCATGTACATCTGCATACCAGATCCCATCATAGATGGCTGTGAGCTGCCATGTGGGTGCTGGGAATTGAACCCAGGACCTCTGGAAGAGTAGCCAGTGCTCTTACCCACTGAGCCATCTCTCCAGACTGTCCTCAACTTCTTGATCCTCCTGCCTTGCTTCAGCCCCTGGCTCTTTTCTGCTCCCCCCAGTTTCCTCTTCTCTTTGTCACTCTAAGAAATGAACATTCTCCTCCTGCTCCAGATTCTGCAGGTGCCACACAAGCCCACACCTCCCACCCCATCTTCAGTCTGGAAACTCAGCATCTTCCCAGAAGGCCCAGCTCCACCCTTCTAGCACCCTTGCACAGCACCCACCTCCTCCACCAGCCCCAGGAGCTTTCTCCCTGATCTCCTGCCCCCTGACTGCCCCCTGCTGATTCCTGAATTCTTTTCCTGCTAATATTCCAGAACTTGCAAAAATTCCTTACCAGCTCTCAGCAGTCCAAGTCCGACAGGCTGCAGACTAACCAACCATGCCAATTCAACAGCATCCAAGACAGTTCATCCACTATCCCCTCCTCTCCATCCTTTCCCACTCACCCCCTAGTCCAAGTCATTCCTTGCATGGACTTCCTTGACTCCAGCCTCATACTCAGCAGATTATTATTTCTGCTGCTATGGGTCTAAAACAGTCCATAGCTCCCTACAGCCTCCAGGGCACGGAACACACCCCTCAGGCTCTGATTGGTTTCCAAATTTCCCCTCACCTGGCTACCCCAGCTTCCTGTCTCTGTCATGTGTCCCACCCATAACCTACTCTGTATTTTATTTGTTCGGTGTATGTGGTGGTTTGAAAGAAAATGGCCCCCATAGAGAGTGGCACTATTAGGAGGCATGGCTTTGTTGGAGCAGGTGTGGCCTTATAGGAGGAAGTGCGTTACTGCTTTGAGGGATGAGCTTTGAGGTCTCCTATGCTCAAGCTATGCTCAGTGTAGCACACAGTTGCTTCTGCTGCCTATGGATCTGGATGTAGGACTCTCAGCTCCTTCTCCAGCACCATGTCTGCCTGCACGCTAGCATGCCACCTGCCATGACAATAATGGACTAAACCTCTGAAGCTGTAAGCCAGCCCCAGTGAAATGTCTTCCTTTATAAGAGTTGTCGTGCCGGGCGGTGGTGGCACATGCCTTTAATCCCAGCACTCAGGAGGCAGAGCCAGACAAATCTCTGTGAGTTCGAGGCCAGCCTGGTCTACAAAGCGAGTTCCAGGAAAGGTGCAAAGCTACACAGAGAAACCCTGTCTCGAAAAACCAAAAAAAAAAAAAGAGTTGTCGTGTAGCCGGGCAGTGGTGGCGCACGCCTTTAATCTCAGCACTCAGGAGGCAGAGCCAGGAGGATCTCTGTGAGTTCAAGGCTAGCCTGAGCTACAGAGTGAGTTCCAGGAAAGGCTCCAAAGTTACACAGAGAAACCTTGTCTCAAAAAACAAACAAACAAAAAATGAGTTGTCGTGGTCATGGTGTCTCTTCACAGCAACAGAAACCCTGACTAAGACAGTTTATGAAACAGGTCCTTATATATTCCAGGATTGCCTCAAGCTTGTGATCCTCCTGCCTTAGCTTCCTGAGTGCTATTTCATGTATGAGCCATGCCACTGGCTCTTCTCTAGTCTTATTCTACAGGGAACACCTTCCTCCAGCCCTTCCTGTGATTTCCTCCCATGCTACATACTGCCAGGTATTTCTCTTCAGGGTCCATTGATTCAACAGGCTTCCATCACAGACAGTACTGGGATGGCATGGCTCAGTGGTAGAGCCCCTGTCTAGAATCCCCAGTGAGGGGCTGGGGTGTGGCTCAGTGGTAGAGCACCTGCCTAAAATCCCCCAGTGAGGGGCTGGGGTGTGGCTCAGTGGTAGAGCACCTGCCTAGAATCCCCCAGTGAGGGGCTGGGGTGTGACTCAGTGGTAGAGCCCCTGCCTAGAATCCCCCAGTGAGGGGCTGGGGTGTGGCTCAGTGGTAGAGCATCTGCCTAGAATCCTCTAGTGAGGGGCTGGGGTGTGGCTCAGTGGTAGAACACCTGCCTAGAATCCCCCAGTGAGGGGCTGGGGGTGTGGCTCAGTGGTAGAGCACCTGCCTAGAATCCCCTAGTGAGGGGCTGGGATGTGGCTCAGTGGTAGAGCACCTGCTTAGAATCCCCCAGTGAGGGGCTGGGATGTCGCTCAGTGGTAGAGCGCTTGGCTAGTGTATGTAAGGCCCTGGGTTCCAGCCTGGTATCACATAGAGGAATAAGGAGAGAAGGAGAGAGAGAGAGAGAGAAACTAGAAACTCCAAGCCAACGGGATGGCACCTGCCTACTTCAGCACTTGGGAAATGGAGGCAGGAAGGTCAAAACGTCAAGGTTATCCTTTGTGAGGCTGAGTTCAAGTCAGCCTGGGCTATGTGAGATCCAACAGAGGAGGAGGAGAAGACGAGAAGACAAACGGATGGACCCTTGGATGTGTAAACGACCAGGGTCCAAGAGCAAGGAAGGTCTAGAGAATCTCCCTCCTGGCTTCCCAGATGAGGACGTGAGCACCAGGAAAGATGAAAGGTTATCCAGGAACCACTGGATCCTGCCTGTCTCCTCCCCTGGGGGCTGGGCCAGGTTTTCTCTGACACCAATCATATCCTCCGGGCATCTGCTCCACCACCGAGCCTCGCCCCAAGCCCCTGCCTCGGGGGAATCTAGGTTGAGGCGGTTTCCTTCGCTGCCATTCACGACCTAACCCTTTGCACCTTCGCAGGGGCCCCATGCTGGGATGAGAGACTCGGGGATAAATCAGCGCTGCTCCCAGCAGCAGAGATAAGGAAAACAAACAAACACCGGATAGATAAGGTAAAGTGGAAAATCCCTCCTGCCCAGGCAGAGGTGCAAAGTGCCTGGGCAGCTAGCTCTCAGGAGAAACCCAGAGGCTTTGGGAGTGCGGAAGAGGAGCGGTAGATGAGGAAGGAAGGTTGCTGCCGGGATGCAGGGAGGGACCTGCGGAGGGGCTGTAGCGCCCCCTGATGGTTGAGATGAAGATGGCACTTTTGCGGGGGTGGAAGCCAGGCTCCCTCCACAGGCCTCTGCCCCCCATTAGGGATTGAACCCAGAGACTCTACCCCTGAGCTACAGCCACAGCTTCACTGCTCTTACGATGTTTCAGATTTTTTTTTTTTTTTTTTTGGTTTTTCGAGACAGGGTTTCTCTGTGTAGCTTTGCGCCTTTCCGGGGACTCACTTGGTAGCCCAGGCTGGCCTCGAACTCACAGAGATCCGCCTGTCTCTGCCTCCCGAGTGCTGGGATTAAAGGCGTGCGCCACCACCGCCCGGCCTGATGTTTTAGATTTTTACGACATTTATTTATTTTGTGTGGCGAGGAGGAGGAGCACATGTGTGCCGTGGCACATGTATGGCGTTCAGAAAAGAACTTCCTGGAGTTGGTTCTCCCCTTCCATCTTCATATGGGTCCAGGGAACCCAATTCAGGTCATCAGTCTCAGTGAAAAACACCTTTATCCACCAAGCCATCTTGCCTGCCCTTTTTCAAATACATATACATATATACACACACATATATACGTATATATGTGTATATATGTGTGTGTATTTATATATATATGGGCTGTGGTGGCACACGTCTTTAATCCCAGCACTCAGGAGGCAGAGGCAGGCGGATCGAGGCCAGCCTGTTCTCCAAAGCAAGTTCCAGGAAAGGCGCAAAACTACACAGAGAAACCCTGTCTCGAAAAACCAATATATATATAAATTATACCATCTCCCTGTGTAGTCCAGACTGGACTCAACCTGTCATCCTCCTGCCTCAGCCCCCACAGTAGCTGAAATTACAGGCCTACATCACCACAATCACCTTTTAAAAAACTTAAAATCTTTTAAAAGTTTATTTATTTTATTTTTCATGTGTGGGGGATTCTAGGCTGGCACTCTACCACTGAGCCACACCCCAGCCCCTCACTGGGGAATTCTAGGCAGGGGCTCTACCACTGAACTACATCTCTAGCTCATATTTTACTCTTTCTTTTGAGATATGGCTTCAATAAGTCACACAAGCTGGTTTTGAACTTGAGATCTTCATTCTTCAGCCTGCAGGGTAGCTGGGGTCTGTACCATCACACCATGTTTTGTTATAAGATGTTGCCACTATGTTGTCATTATAATCATAATGATGATGAGCAATCCTAGCCTCCCACATCCATGGAGCTCTCCTGAGCTATTCACATATGCATAGACATGCCCAATAAATAAGTATTATAAAAAGCATGTCTTTAATGCCAGCACTAAGGAGGCACAGGTAGGTACAATCTCTGTGAGTTTGAGGCCAGCCAGGTCTACAGAGCAAGTTTCAGACCAGTCAAGGATGCATAGTGAAATGCATAGTATCAGAAGGAGAAGAGGGGCGTGCTGGAGAGATGGCTCAGAGCTTAAGAGCACTGACTGTTCTTCCAGAGGTCCTGAGTTCAATTCCCAGCACCCACATGGGGTGGTTCACAACCATCTGTAATGAAATCTGGTGCCCTCTTCTGGCCTTCAGGGAGACATGCAGGCAGAACACTATGTGTAATAAATAAATAAAAAAAAAAAAAAAAAAGAGGAGGAGGAGGAGGGAGAAAGGAAAGAAAACCAAAGCTCACAGCGGGCCAAGTATGGTGGTGCTCCTCTGTACTCCTAGCACTCAGGAGATGGAGAAAGGAGGAAGATCAGGAGTTCAAGGCCACCCTTGGTTGCTTACATACTAAATTCAAATCTAACCTGGACTATATGAGACCCTGTTTTTAAAAGAAGGAAGGTAGGCAGGGTGGGTTGAGGAGATGGTGCAGTCAGTAAAGTCTCTGGAAGTATTAGGACCGACATTCAATGCCCAGAAATTGTATTAAGAAAAAAAAGAAAGCCAGGTGCATGTTTGGCACCCCAGTGGATCCGTGGGTCTCACTCACTGGCCAGCAAGCCTAACCTACTTAGTTTGAGGCAATGAGATAGAATAACAACTAAGGTTGACCCTTTGCCTTTATATATACATGCGCACCTGCATACATGTACACAGAAAGAAATAGAGGGAGGGAGGGAGGGAGGGAGGGAGGGAGGGAGGGAGGGGGAGGGAGGAACTGAAGGAGGGAGGGAGAGGAAGGGAAGGAGGCGGAGGGAAGGAGAGAGGGGGGAGGGAGAGGGAGGGAGGGAGGGGAGAGGAAGGGAGGGGGAGGGAGGGAGGGGAGAGGAAGGGAGGGGGAGGGAGGGAGGGAGGGACCGGGAGGGGGGGCGGGAGTGGGAGAAGGAAGGGAGCAAAGGAAAAGATAAACTAACTTCTGCAGTGCCAACAGTGTGTGTGTGCCCATCTAGCTTTAACATGAAAAGAGAACCGCCCTCCCCAACCCCGACTTTTCAGCTTCCTAATTCGCCTAGATTCTGTCAGATAACTTCTCAGAGACCCAGAGAAGCCATGGAAAAAGCAGGTAGCTGCTGTGTGTCTCACTGGGGGGCATCTAGGCAAGTGCTCTCCTGCTGAGCCACACCCCCAGTCCTTGGGGAGGGGGGTTGTCCAGGGCAGGCAGAGGCTGCTGTAGGGCTGAAAAGGGAGACTCTGAAAACTCTGACTGGGAAAATGCCTGACACCCGCACATCTTTTTCAGATAGGATTTCTTTTTTTTAGTTCCAAGTTTTTACTCTGATGATGCTTGCACATACACACCTGAGGCCTTCATACACTAGTTATGCTTTTTTATGTTTTGTTTTTTAAATCTTTTTTTTTCCTTTTCATTTTTCTTTATTAAGACATTTTCTACTCACTCTACATACCACCCACAGATCCCTCCTCCTCCCTCCTGCCACCCTCCAGCCCTCCCTTCAGGTAGGATTTCAGTGGCTCAGGATGGCTTGGAACTTGTTACACCGTGGGGCAGATGAAGAATGCCCCTGTCTGTCTGTTTGTTTGTTTGTTTGTTTTGAGACAGGGTTTCTCTGTGTAGCCCTGGCTGTCCTGGAACTCACTCTGTATGTAGACCAGGCTGGCCTCCAACTCACAGAGATCCGCCCGCCTCTGCCTCCTGAGTGCTGGGATTAAAGGCGTGCGCCACCACCCCCCAGCTGGTTTTGAGTCTTAAACAAGATAATTTATTCAAGTGTTGGGCACATGGGTCAATAGAAACTGGAGTCTAACAGTCCCTATCTGCTTGGATGAGATCCAGCGGGGCCAGCAGAGACAAAAACAAATGTATCCCTCCAGGGCTGTGTTCCCAGCTCAGCACAGCCTTTGATCCTACCGACTCGCCACAGAGGGGGCTGTCCCCCAATACATGACTGTAACCTCCTCTGGCTATCTCCTTCACTGACCCTCCACTTGGTGCTAGGCCCTGGTAGACCTGTTTTCACCGCACCCGCCATCATCGGGTAGATAGGGACGTGGGTTCAAAGCGGTCAGGCAACTGACTTGTTAAAGTCACACGGACCAGGAAGAAGCAGTGACAAGAAACCTGTCGGAGTGACTTCAAGTCCTGGGTCTTTTCCAACATGGCTTTATGGATCTAATCTGCCTAAATCACAGCAGGTACCTACAGGATGTTTGTTCATTGACAGGCTAGTGGTGCCGGACAGTGGTGGCGCACACCTTGAATTCTAGCACTTGAGAAGCGGGTGGATCTCTGAGTTCGAGGCCAGCCTGGTCTGTGGAGGAGTTTCAGGACAGCCAGGGCTACAGAGAGAAAGGCTGATCCATGCAGAATTTTCCTCATTTACTAAGCATTGCAACTGGACCAGTGGGAAATGTAAATGCCCCCACACATACCCTTTTTGTGGTACTGGAAATGGAACCAGGGCCTGGAACATGCTAGGTAAGTGTATTACTGTTGATCCATACTCCTGACCCCTTACTCACTGGTGGATTCTAGGCAGACATTTTATACTGTATGGCTCCCCCAGGCCCACACTTGAGGACTCTAGGCAGGTGCTCTACCACTGAGCCACATTCCCAGCCCCTCATTGGGGGACTCTGGGCAGGTGTTCTGTCCTTGAGCTCTGGCTCTAACAGGCTTCTTTTACCAGAGAATCCCAAGTAGCTTCCTTAGTGAAGGGGCTGCTGAACGGGCCTTGAATTGGCACCCACATTGCAGCCTCCCTCAGAGCTTTCAAAGTGCCCTCGGCTGCACCTTATCTCCCAGGAGAAAGTGACCTTTGGCACATATTCCTCAAGCCCCTCTGAAGGCCGGAGGCTGTTCCAGGGTCCTTGTCCCGGGGGCTTGCCCTCCGCACAAGGCTGGCATCATGCACTCCACAGGTGCTGACTCTACGTTCTGTGAAGGGAGCCCTCTGGCTGGAAAGAAGCCTCCCAGCCCCGAGGGACCCAGGGCACCCACTCACACTGAATGTACCAGGCCCTCCAGATGGCGTTGTTGAGGCGGATCTTGTCCCGGCACAGCAATTTGAGGCCTTTGAAGTTCTTCCACTTGGGAGAAACCAGCTTGCCACTGTTGGAGAGGATGAGAGGAAAAGATGGGGGGGGGGGGGGCGGATGAGAAGATGGAGGCGTTTCTATACTTACTACCCTTCCATCATCTACAACTGGGATTTCCCCAGAATCCCCAAATCCTGTCTATTCTCTAACATGCCCGAAATTCCTACCCTGAAGTCAAACCTTATAAATAGACATCCAGACCCCACCCCGTAGCCATTGGTTATCTCCCACCCAAAGACAGGTTGTCCTTCTTCTTCTTCTTCTTCTTCTTCTTCTTCTTCTTCTTCTTCTTCTTCTTCTTCTTCTTTTTCTTTTTTTTTTTTTTTTGGTTTTTTTTTTTTTTTTCGAGACAGGGTTTCTCTGTGTAGCTTTGCTCCTTTCCTGGAACTCACTTGGTAGCCCAGGCTGGCCTCGAACTCACAGAGATCCGCCTGGCTCTGCCTCCCGAGTGCTGGGATTAAAGGCGTGTGCCACCACCGCCCGGCCTTCTTCTTCTTTTTCTTCTTCTTCTTTTTTTTTTTTTTTTTTTTTGGTTTTTTCAAGGCAGGGTTTCTCTGTGTAGCTTTGCGCCTTTTCTGGAACTCACTCTATAGCCCAGGCTGGCCTCGAACTCACAAAGATCCACCTGGCTCTGCCTCCCGAGTGCTGGGATTAAAGGCATTCGCCACCACTGCCCGGCAGCAGGTACTTCTTACCAACTGTTTTCAGAGTAACACTGTCCATTGGCCTCAAGGGGAAGAGTTTTCACATGCAGTGTGTGTGTGTGTGTGTGTGTGTGTGTGTGTGTGTGTGTGTGTGTGTGTGTAGAAGGGGAAAGAGTTTCCTTTTTTTTTTAAGATTTATTTTTATTTTATGTGCATTGGTGTTTTGCCTACATGTATGACTGTGTGAGGGCATCAGATCCCCTGGAACTGGAGTTACAGACAATTGTGAGCTGCTATGTGGGTGCTGGGAATTGAGCCCGGGTCCTCTGGAAGAGCAGTGCTCTTAACCACTGAGCCATTGCTCCAGCCCAAGAGTTTCTATATGTAGCCCAGGCTGGCCTGGAATTAGAAATCATGTCACCTTATGGTCAGAGAGATGCTAGAGGAGGGCCTCACCCCTCCGTGAGGATCTCTGGGCAGTTGGTGGCTGCTGGGAGAGGGGGACATGGTTTCTACAGCAGTAAAGACACTGGTAGGGTGCCGATGTTCCTATAAATAACCCCTCGGCCATGAGCCTATGGCAACCCTAAACTCACTAGGTAACAACAACAACCACAGAAGGCATGAGGGCCCGCCTGATGACCTGAGTTTGACCGCCATGATCCACATGGTGGAAGGCTATAGAACAGACTCCCACAAGATGTCCTCTGACCTGATATCACACCAGGGCATTCACCCCTGCCTCCCTGAACACACACAATGAATAAATGTTACTTAAAATTGTAAGACATGATACTGGGCGGTGGTGGCTCACACCTTTAATCCCAGCACTTGGGAGGCAGAGGCAGGTGGATCTCTGTGAGTTCGAGGTCAGCCTGGTCTACAAAGTGAGTGCCAGGACAGCCAGGGCTACACAGGAGACCCCCCCACTCCCTCCCCCCAAAAGCAGAAAGACATGAAAATAGAAGGGAACTAAGAAGAGGAAGGATGGGTGTCGGCTGCAGTGCGAGAGGGCAGGAGCATGTAATCCAAATGCATCATACACAGGTATAAAGACGCCATAATTAAATTATGTACTCTTGTATTATTAATATATGCTAATAAAAAGCCAGGAAATCCTCCTGCCTCAGCATCCCCAGTACAGCAATTATAGGGGGTGTGTACCATCATGAAGGGCTCTCACATCTTTCTCTTTCTTTTGTCTTTGAGAGAGGGTCTTACCTAGTCTTCAGATAGCATAGTGTAAGGCTTGAGTGTGTCATCTTGGGCTCAATATGTAGCTGAGGCTGGCCTTGAACTCCTGATCCCCCTGCCTCTGCCTCCAGAGTGCTAGGATTAGAGGTGTGTACCACCAGGCCCAGCTTCTCATACCCATTTCTTACACCTGAGTGTCCACCTGTACCACATGCATGCCTGGTGCCCACAAAGGCCAGAAGAGGACATCAGAATCCCTGGAACTGGAGTTCCAGATGACTGTGAGCTGCCATTTGGGTGCTGGGAACCAAACCTGGATCCTCTGAGAGAGCAGCAAGACTTCCTAACCAACCAAACGATCTCTCTAGCCCCTAACACCCACTTCTTAGGGACAGGATAAAGACCTTCCTCAGGGGCAGGGGAGGAAAAGAGACACTCCCAAAGGGACATAGTAAGGACACACAGGATCTTACCATGTAGTCCTGGCTAGCCTAGAACTCACTATGTAGACCAGGCTGGCCTCGAACTCACAGAGATCTGTCTGCCTCTGCCCCGGAGTGCTGAGATTTAACATGTGTACCACCATGCCTCACTTCCAGTCCCTTTTTTGCTTGTCAGTCAGGCTTCCATAGGTCCATGAGACACTTAGGGGAAGAGGGACAGTGTGCCTGGATAAGAAGGAAGTGCTCATGTGTCCACCGTACATGTGTGGCCATCTAGAGGAAGCAGGAAGCCATGCCTGTCTGCCAGGCAGCATGATGGAAAGAATCGTTTGGCCAAAGGAAGACAGTATGGAAACAGAACGTTAACCTTGACCTTAACCTAGGGGTCCACAGAGTGCACAGTGTGAAGGGGTTGTATACAGGTAATGGCTTTAATTCTAAAGGTCCCTCTGAGAACAGGCCAAGTTATGACCACCGGGAAGCTGACCAAAGCGGCCAAGATGAAGATGATAAAGGTCTTGGACACCATCCTATCTCACCCTTATCCTTTCCAACCTTCCGTCCTCATGATCTAGAAGCCAAACTTGCATCTACGTCACTCCGATCTATCTTTTCACTCCTTGCTCAGAGAAGCCCCTAAGGTTCTGCCTTTCAGAAGGCCAGGCTGGGGTTGGGGGTGTGTGGCTCTTTCTAGAATCCCCCAGTGAGGGGCTGGGGATGTCGTTTGGTGACAGCGAGCTTTCCCAGGAGTCAGACAAGACCTGGATCCCATCCTCAGCACTACACACACACACACACACACACACACACACACACACACACACACACACACACACAACACAACACACACAACACACACAAACACGCACGCACAAAGTCAGGCCTGCTCTCCCAGTGGCTCCCCTCATGATATGGGTAAGGGGTGGGTAGGTGGCCACCTGACTCCTTGATTCTCCCTTCCTGCTTCCTTGAGTGCATGGGTCATTGGGCCCCCTCTCCTTTCTGGTCTCCAAGCTCCAGTATTTGCTTTGGGCTAATGGTGACTGCCAGGGTGTGGGATGTGGGGTGGCAGGGGCTGCCACCTCAGGAGACAACAGGCTTCATTACCCAAATAGGCTACACCAGCCCGATGGCTGGCCCCTTACCTCCCATGGCTAGATAAATACCATCTGTCCAGTAAGGCAACATGATTGGGTGGGGCACTCTGACCCTTCCTGGGTCAGCTTCTTTTGTGGTGTGGGGTGAGTGGGGGACACTCCTACGTTTGTGGCCCCTGTCTGTATCCCAGCAACCACTAGGCTCTGCTCACCCAGGGTCCTACCTCAGCCTTCTGCTGTTCCTCTCCCAGCTCCCTCAGAGGTTTGGTAGCCTAGGCTGAGGGAGATGAGCCCTTGATAATATCCAAGCCGAAAGGAAAGGATTAGGTTGGATGTATGTGAGGGGAAGGGTCTGGTCTGGTGCAAAAAAAAAAGAAGTCTAGGGCCAAGGGTCAAAAGTTGTGAGCAACGAGGGAAAACAGAAAACCTCAGAGAGGTGGGAGGAAGAGGGGAAAGGAGGGAAAGATTTGTTTGTTGAGACCAGAGGGCGATCTTAAATACGGTTCCTCACATGCTATCCACCTTGGTTTTTGAGACAAGAGTCTCTCATTGCCCTGGAACTCACCCACCAAGTAAGCTAAGCTGGCCGCCACGGAGCCGCAGGCATCCATTTCTGGGCTCAGCCCTGGGACCACAAGCGCACACTGGCAAGCCCGGCTCTTTTCTCTGTGGGCTCTGGGGATTGGACTCAGGCCCTCGAGCTCGCAAGGAAAATACTTTACCAACAGAGCTAGCTCGGGAGTCCCACTTTTTGTCAGTTTGTTTATTTAACACAGGGGACTCGCTATGTAGCCCAGGCTGGTCAGGATCCTCACCCTCCTGTCTCAGCCTGTAGAGTGTTGGGATGGCAGACCCATGCCACCACTCCCTAGATAGACAAGTGCCTTCTTGGAACTCTTACAGTTGTCCTCCCTAGGGCTTCCACCCACAGAACCAGGGAACACAGTGTGCCAGAAGGGCTCCTTGGCAAGGGTGAGGCACCCAGGCAGGCGGCTGCAGGCTGTCCTTCTCCCTGTCTAACTGACCAGTTCCACCCACCCCTGGACCCCCTGCCTGCGTGCCCCACCCCCACCTTTCCGGCTGCTCTCTGGATGGTCTCACCCTCTGAAATCCCAGAACCCTATCACAGGGGGTCTTTGGAAGTCTTCCGGTCTGAGCTTGTGTGTGTTTGTTTGTTTGTTTGTTTGTTTATTTGAGACATGATCTCTTGAATCTCAGGCTAGCCTCGAACCTTAAATTCCTACGCAGCCGAGGATAACCCTGACCTCCTCCTGACCCCCCTTCCTCAGCCTGAGTTCTGGGATCCCAGGCATGCTCAACCACGCATGGTTTATGAGCTTGAGCATGGGGTGTTCGCTTTTGTTTTTATTTTTATTTCTTATTATTGGGAGGGGTGTGCGTGCCTGGCACGTGGAGGTCAGAGGGCAACTTGGAGGCATCTATGCTCTTCAGCCACTTTGATGAAGGAAGTACCGTCACTTGTAGAGCCCGATCCCCCAGTCCATACTTTATTCTTTCACCAAGGGTGCGAAACCAGAGACTCCCGTGTACTTGGCCACCCCCATCCTTGGTGCTTAGAATCCCATTTAAGAGAATTTAATGTTCTAGCTCTTTGGGGAGAAAACGCGGCACTCTCCACCTTAGCTGCCTTCCAGTCCGCCTCAGAAGGGAGCAGTTCTGTGTTCTGTCCTTTCCAGCACTGTCTCCCTATAACCTCTCCCCGTTTGGCTGCTCAGTCGGAGCTGAGAGGCCCAGCAAGCCAGCCCAAGAGGACTGTCGCGTAGAGAATGTAGGAAACCCGAGCTCGGAAATGGGAGACCCTTTGGGGGAACCTGGGAACCCTAGGCTTTGTGTGGCTCATGCCTGTAATCCCAGCACTTGCCGGAGGCCAGCCTCTGCTGTATAGTGAGTTCCAGGCTAGCTTGACCTACAATGTGAAACCCTGTCTCAACGAGAGAGAGGGTGGGGTAAAGGATATCCTCCGCTCCTCCATGAAACCCCAATAATTGGGAGTCTTTGGTAGCTAAAACACTGTGCCAGTGTGAGCTGCCTCTGGTATTCTGAGACCTTAGATGCCCCCTTCCCAGGCAGTCTCATGATGTCCAAGGGCGGGGGAGGGGGAATGGGACAAGGAATTTGAACTTTCCACATCAGTCTCAGCGCCCTGAACTATCAGGTTGCAACATGACCCGGGCTTGGGGCCAGAACATGTGGGCCAAGGTTACACTGCCTCCAGCCAATGGGGTCGCGCAGCTCTGCCGCCACGAGGTAGGCCACGCTCTCCTGCAATCCCCACCCCTGCTCCAGGTCCCCAATGGGGCTGCAGGTGCCGGTCTACAGCCAACGGTTCTACGGTTCAAGGGAGGAGGCTCGCTGAAGAAGAGTGGTATTTGCAGAGAGGAAAGATCAAGGCCGGCCGATCCCCCTTTCTCTCCTACTGTTTTCGGTTGATAATTTATCCTGGTCTCTGTGCTCCCGGGAACTTTGCTCCAGGGCACTGGGCCAGGACCCCAGTTCGCGCCCTCCTCTGGGACATGTAGGTGGGGCTGGAGCTGGGCGCGGCCCCGGAGCTCTTAGCTATAGCAAGGGGTTCCTGGCTGCGTTACAGCCTCCCACAGATACCGGGTTCGGGGAGACTAGGCTTCCCCAGTCCCGAAGCAAAGCAGACTGCAGCACCCCCTGCTGGCTCTGGGCAGGTCCTGGGCAACCTCTTCCCGCCAACCTTGACATAGCGTTCTAAATCAGGCGTGGTGGCTCAGGCCAGTAATCCCGGTATTAGGGGGGGGGATGAGATAGGAGTCTAGCCTGGGCTACCTAGCTCCACGCCAACCTCAGAGTGAGATTGTCTCACCAAACTCAGTCAAACCAAACAAATGATGTGCAGGCAGTCGGGGAGTGGGCGACTGTATTCATGCGTTGACTTGGCTATGAGGGCGACCCCAGGAGAACTGCAGTGTGCAGGGAAATGAGTGGGACTTTGAGGGGACTGCTGGGGATAGACGAAACAGTCCCGGAATCACACGAATGGAGAGAAGGAGGGAGTGGACGGGATGGCTTATAGTTTGGGGAGTGTGAGGGACACCTGGCATTTCTTAAGGGCAGAAGCAAGAGAAGCAGGGAGAGGGGCCCAACTGCAAGAGACCCTGCAGGAGTGGAGGGCAAGAGAGTGGGGCCACGAGCAGGGGAATCGCAGATGATTCACGAGGGTCAGTAGACTGGCTCAGGACCCGGGGACGGGGAGGAAGCCTAGGCTGTGTCCAGAGTTCCCCGGAGCAGCGTGGGACCAGAACCCCAGTGCGTGGTCCCCCACGGAAAGCTGGGACTCGGGCTCCCCAGTCCGCCCTCACCTGTAAGCCAGGCTCAAGCACTCGAAGAGGCGGGTGAGTGTCGGATCGATGCTGCGCGGCCCGAAGTCGGCGACCCCCATGGGCCCCTCCTGGTCGCGTCGCCGGGTCAGCGAGTCGCTATGCGGCGAGGACACCATGAAGTGTCCGCTGTGGATGACCTGTGATCGGTGCAAGCCACCCGCGCTGCGCCGGAGACTCGGATCCTCCGAGTCTGTATCCGAGTCCGAATCCGGGCAGGGGACGACCCGGGGCACCTGCAAATCCACGGCTAGATCCGCCAGAGCGCGCGCCATGGTCACTGTGATCGCCAACTCCCCTGCGCTCTGGGGAGCAGCTAGAGCTCCTAACGTGGCCCACTGGACCGTATTAACATGGCCACGCCCCTGCTTCTGATAGGCCCTCGAGATGGGCGTGTCCTCGGTGGTAGGTGGGGCTTAAATTAATATAACCACTGAGCCAGGTACTGATCCTGGAGCTTTGGCGTGCAGCGCCTTTCTTTCTGTTATGAGCCCCTTTTTTTTTTGGCTTTTCGAGACAGGGTTTCTCTGTGTAGCTTTGCGCCTTTCCTGAAATTCACTTGGTAGTCCAGGCTGGCCTCGAACTCACAGAGATCCGCCTGGCTCTGCCTCCCGAGTGCTGGGATTAAAGGCGTGCGCTACCGCCGCCTGTCCAAAGGTTGTGGGTTATTCCTTTTTAGTCTCTACTTCTCAGGTCTCAGAAAAGCTTGCCTGGGCATGGGGCTGCAGCTCGGTTGGTAGCGTGCTTGCTAGCATGCACGAAGCTCTGGGTTCGAACATCCGCACCACAGAAACTTGGCATGGTGGCGAAGGTCTGAGATCTCAGCACTTGGGAGGTGAAGGCAAAAAGATCCTAAGTTAGAGTCAACAATATGGCTAGCGCGTAAAGATGTTTGCCTCCAGGCCCGACGATGTGAGTTCCAATCCCAAGACCCACACAGTGGAAGAAGATACTGGACTTCTTTGAGTTGACCTTTGAACTCTACACGTGAGTGTGGCACCACGCATTCCCACACACATCAACACTAAATAACTAAATAACGAAATAGCACAAGTTCAAGAATCACTCTCTGCTTCACAGTGAGTTCTGTATGTCCCTCACCTGTCTTTCTTCACTTTTCCAGGGTCCTGTGTGGTTGATCCCCAATGTGAGCTAGCACCCAAGTCCTCTTAGGATTGTCCCACACCTGTACAGCAAAGTTCAGAAGGGGGGGTCCCTGAGAGTCCCCACTCTCTAGATCACCTCCCCTGTCCTTTAGCAGGCTGTCTGCTCAGGGAGTTCTCTCACTGACCCCGAGGTCCAGCTTCTGTCCCTGACTTTTTTTTTTTTTTTAAGGACAAACACCAGGCTGGGCATTAACAACAGCTACCTAACTGAACAGGTAAAAGTCCTTTTCTGAGGCACCAGCTAAAGATGGCTCAATGGTAGAGTGCTTACCTAACATTCACAAGGTCTTGGGTTCAATCCCCTGCACTGCACAAACAAAAACCCCTTGTCTGAGGCACACCACACAGGAATGAAAACAGCCAAGTATCTCAAAGTCTCATCTAGATGTGTAGATGTTGGTTCAAAAGTTGCTTCGAGTGCCCCAGGCCTCCTACCCCCAAGGGAAAGATCTCTGAGTGGAATCCCAGAGACTTTCTCACTAGCTGAGTGGGGTGGAAGGATCATGGATGATTCTACTTGGGGGACTCTACTTCATTACACACACACCCCAACCAGCAGTGGCTCTTCAAACCACAATTCAACTCCCCAGGTCCTGAGAAAAACCTTTAGAGACCTCAGCAATAAACAGATAGGCTTAGAGCTGGGCAGTAGTGGTGCACACTTTTAGTCCCAGCACTCAGGAGGCAGAGACAAGCAGATCTCTGTGAGTTCGGGGCCAGCCTGGTCTACAGAGCAAGTTGCAGGACAGCCAAAGTCACACAGAGAAACCCTGATTCAAAAAACAAACAAACAAACAAGATAAGCTTAAACTGGGTGGTGTGGCACAGGTCTTTAGTCCCAGCACTCAGGAGGCAGAGGCAGGTGGATCTCTGAGTTCAAGGGCAGCCTGGTCTACAGAGCAATATCTAGGGCAGCCAGGCTACACAGAGGAACCCTGACTCAAAAGAAAAGAAAAAAAGAAAAGGAAGAAACTTACAAAACTCCCAGCACTGTGGAAGCAGAGACAAGATCATTAAAGGCCAATTTAGTCTACGTAGAAAGTTCCAGACTGAGGCTGGGCCTGTAGTTTAGTTGGTAGAGTACTTGTCTGTGCAGCCAGTAGGAAGCTGTGGGTTCAATCCCCCAGCACTTTGTAAACCAGGTGTGGTGTTACATGTCTGTAGTCTTAGCTCTGGGAAGACAGAGGCAGAAGATCAGAGTTCAAAGTCATGCCTGACTGCATAGCAAGTTTGAGGCCAGCCTGGGGCTACATAGTGAGACCCTGTCCCTCCAAAAGAAAGCAGGGCTGGTGAGATGGTTCATGGGTCAAGATGCTTACTGCCAAGCCTGATGACCAATCCTTGGAACCCACATGGTAGAAGAGAACCAGCTCCTACAAGGTGTTCCCTGACCTTCACCCATGAACACTGTTGGCACATATGTGGCCTCTTGCTCTTTCTCCCTCTAACACACACACACACACACACAAACGCGCACACACACACACACACACACACACACACACACACACACGAATAAACACAATAAACGTAAAAAAGAAAGTCAAAACAAAAACCTCAAAACAACAACAAAAACCACTGCAGTGTGCAACAACCGCAAGCATGCCCCAGACTCTTGCTTTTTGTCCACAGTGGCATGACATGACATGACACAATGCCTCTTCCAGGTGGCATGGTGTAAGCTGGCCTGGTTCACCTCTCAGTGCCTCTCTCTCTTGCCCTCTAGTACCCGATGCCCAGAGTTCACAGCCTCTTAAATAAATAAGTCTGGTTCACGGTCCACAGGCTCCACGATGAATCTTGACTGGGTGTGGAAACCCAGTTTTTCCCAGCAACCCTACCTGACACCCTCTCAGCCTCCCAGGCTTGCCTCTTGAGGCTTCTCCCCTAGACTGCTCACACTGAAGTGCCAGCTTCTCCTTGAGTTCCCCACGCCCTGGTTCCAATCACTGCAAGTTGGATTTCCGTCTGCCTGAGATCACAATGGGTGCACCGGCCTCTCTTTCCCACTAGATGGCAAATTCCCTGGCAGAATCAACAATCTGTTCCTTACAGTCCAACTTCCCCCTTAAGAGCTAATGTGGCCAGACTTGGTGGCTCACGCCCTTAATCCCAGCACTCAGAAGGCAGAGATAGAAGGACCCCTGTGAGTTTGAGGCCAGCCTGGTCTACATAGTAAGCTCTAGGATAGCCCAGACTACATAGTGAGACCCTGTCTCACAAAACAAATGAATGGACAAACGAACAAAAAAAAGAGCTAATGTACATTTGCTGAAGAGATATTTGTCACATTTATCGGCTAGCTATGCTGTGTCCATCTATCTACTCACCCGTTCATTCATCCATCCATTATCCATCCACCTATGTTCTATCTGTACACCATCTATCCATCTCTCATTCAACATCTGTTCTCTCTCCATCATGTATTTAGTTATCTATCCATCTACCATCATCCATCTGTCCACTCATCTTGCCATCTGAATCCATTTATTCAGCGACTGTCCATCTGTCTTAGTTAGGGTTCCTGTTGATGTGAGGAGACACCACGACCAAGGCAACTCTTAAAAGGAAAACATTTCATTGTGGTGACTCACTTACAGTTTCAGAGGTTCAGTCCATCATGGCAGGGAACAAGGCAGCAGGCAGGCAGACATGGTGCTAGAGAAGGAGCTGAGAGTTCTTACATCGTGACTCACAGACAACAGGAAGTGATCTGAGACACTGGGCAGTATCTTGAGCATATACGAGACCTCAAAGCCCGCCTCCACAGTGATGTACTTTCTCCAGCAAGACCACACCCACTCCAACAAGGCTACACCTCCTCATAGTGCCACTCCTTTTGGAGGCCATTTTCTTTCAAACCATCATGCCACACATCTAACCATCTATCCACCATCTATTGTCCATCTATCTGTTCATCTATCCATCCAAGTGTTTATTTATCCATCCCATTGTCTATCTACCCATCTATCAAATTCACCATCATCTGTCCATCTGTTATTCACCCGTTCATCAACTAATCAATCTCTCCATCATCTACCTATCCATTCAACTGTATCTTAGTTACTTTTCTGTTGCTGTAGTAAAATAGAGCATTAAGGGAGAAAGTGTTTACTCCAGCACATAGTTCAAAGGAACTGTCATGTCATGGAGGAGAGGACAAGGCAGCAGGAGCTTGGAACATCTGGTCACACCCTCCATCAGGAAGCAGAAAGCATGAAAGACACTGCTGCTCAGCAACCTTTCTCCATTTATGTACTCCAGGATCCCAGCTAGGGAATGGAGCCACCCACAGTGGACAAGTCTTATCTCAATGAACAAAATCCAAAGAATCCCCTTCTGGACATGTCCACAGGTTTATCTCAAAAGTGACTCTAGATTCTGTTGAGTTGACAACAATATCACTATCGCATCAACTACCCAGCCATCTACCAATTTTTTTTTTTAAGGCAGGGTCTGACTTTATAGCTCTGACTGGCCTGGAACTCAAAAAATCTGCCTGCCTTACCTCCTGAGTGCTGGAATTAAAGGCAGGCAGGCACCAGACCAGGCCCCATCCACTAATTCTTGTACTCACCTATGTATCTGTTATCCAACCATCTCTCTATAAATACATCTAACTACCCATCTATTATCGTTCCACATATTGATCTACACACACACACACACACACACACACACAGAGACACACACACACAGACATACACAGACACACAGACACACACACAGACATACAGACACACACAGAGACACACACAGACACACACACACACTAAATAAGTGAAACTTTAACTTAAAAGGGAAATCTGAGGCTGGAGAGATGGCTCAGCAGTTAGGGACACCTGTTCTTTTTTTTTTTTTTTTTTTTTTTTTGATTTTTCGAGACAGGGTTTTTCTGTGTAGCTTTGCACCTTTCCTGGATCTCGTTCTGTAGACCAGGCTGGCCTCGAACTCACAAAGATCCACCTGCCTCTACCTCCCAAGTGCTGGGATTAAAGGCGTGCACCACCACCGCCCGGCTCGGACACCTGTTCTTTTCCCAGCACCCACGTGGTGGCTCACAAACACCTGCAACTCCAGTTCCAAGGGATCTGATGCCTTCTTCCCCA